GTGACCTACAGAGGGGAAGCTCCAGCATCACCTGGAATCTGCTAAGAAATGCAGAATCTCAGGCTTTCCTCCATATCCACTGAATCAGAACTTGCATTTTAATAAGATCTGCAGGTGATTCCTAGGCATACAAAATTTGAGAACCTACTTTAGATAGTCACACCCATAGAGTGTTTAGAATTAAAAATTTATATCTCAAATCACATTCGGAAATGATTCATACTGTAATATTCTTAATAAAACACAATATATTATTTGTAAGTGATGAGACAAAGGTTTCAGTAATGTTTTACGTGTGTTCAATGAGAAATAACCTCTTTTTCCCACTTTCAACAGCTCACTGCCTGCTCCTTACTTCTTACTCTCCTTTGCCCTGCTCTTCTCTTTGCAGAAGAGTAGCACAGCAAACAGCAAAGTGGAAGTTAGAGCTGGGATCTAGGAAATTCCATAGGCTTTAGTCTCTTTAAATTGGTTCATCTTGAGAAGCAATTCAGGAGATGCAGTGTTTATGAGCCAGACATGTTACCATCAAATCTGTACACCTATTGGACATAAATCCTTATTGAACTTGAGGAATGGACATTTGTAACAATTGGTGGAGACACAGGTTAAGAAATTGGAGGAAGAACACTATTTAATGCAGTTTGGTCATTTAGAGTTGATGGTGTGAGATAGCTTCCTGGCTGTCAGATGGATTTAAGATTTGAGAGCAAGACCTGTTCTATTGGAAGAGGCCATGCTTCTCTCTAGAGTCAGGATACAATAGTCAGACAGCTCTGAGCAACTGTTTTAGTGTTCTCTGCTCACCATTCTGTCTTCCAGGCAAGGGCCCATTTCATTGGCTGCTCTTTCTCTGTTGCATATACTTGTGGTGAAATACAACATTCGGGCATCAGATCTTGTTTCACCAGCCACTGAATCACAAAATGTACTTTTAAACCCCCTTCCACTTGATTCTACTACTCCTTAGTATAAAGCATTGGAAATTCATTGGGCCTAATTTATAAGGCAATGTGGTCTCCAGATTATATTAAACCAGAAGCTCCTGGATTCAGTGCTAACATTTTTAACTAGCATAATTCATCTTTACATGCTTTAACTCCTTAAAGAAAATGAAACAAAACCCTTTCCAGACTAGGTTTTATTTTCCCCATTTATAGTTGTAGAAAATGGAAGCACAAAGAGGTTAAATGACTTATTCAAGGCTACCCTAGCCAATGAGCAGGGGATCTGGGTCCTAGTGGAGTTTTATTATTTTCCTCCAGCAAGTATTCTTTCAGCTACACTTTGCTTCTGCCAAAGAGGCCCAGAAGACCATGGAACTCTCCTTGTCACGTGGCAGGAGCATCCTGCCTTTAGTCTCTAAAACCAAAGGTTAAACTAGCAATCTCAGACTTTAAAGGTATACTAGGTTAACATATTCTTGTAGTTTAAAATATGCAGTTTCTATTAACAATCATGACTCAAGTGACCACAGAATTAGAAAGATACAAACAACTGGGTAAGAGAATGGGAAATGTGAAGGAAGAATATTTAAGAAGGGCAATTTGGAGTAGATGTGAAAAGACAGTCATTACAAGTACCATTATTCCTATAAACCTCTAGGTGCAATTATGTCATAATGTGTCCCTTGTTTTGAAATCAGTTGGGCTTACTCATCATTGTTTTTCACCAAAAAAAACCCAGCTTGTTAGAATCCCTTTTACCACAAAAGATAAAGGCAGTCTCTTTGAGAGCCTTGACGTTCCCGTAAATAAAGAGGTTCTGGCAGTAAGAACATCGGTCCTCCTTTGAGCCTAAGATGAAAGTCAATGTTGTGAAACACACATGATGTTTAACACGGCACTTGAATTTTTTCTCAAGTCCCTGCCAGTAAGATAAAAGTTATAAACATTCAGAAGTAGGAGCTTTAAATGGTGTTTACACGTTCTTTTAGATATTGCAGGTCGTATCTTTAGAAGTAGTTTGCTGATGGCTAAAATCTCACTTTATTTTAATATCACAGAGATTTTTTTGTTTGTTTTCAGTGTGTTAGATTTTTCACAACACATTTTCAGGAGTTCATTAACACAGAGGTTTATGCGAACACTTTTACTTTGTTTCAAAATTTCCCCCTGCTCCCAAAGAAAACAACAGGAATCTGACACTAATTGATGAACTATAGAGAACTCTGTCAAATGCTTAGCCTACTTAAAATGCTCACTATGCAGCTAGAATCCTTATTCAAATGAAAATCTTTCTCTTACTCATATTCTTTCACAAAGTAAAGAAAAAATGCAGAGAGAATATCCACGCTTATTTCTGCAGTAATTAAGATTGCTAGAATTTCATATGTTTCATTCCTCTTTAAAGAGGAAAGACTATCTAATTTCACAGATGAGAGTAAGGAGGATTCGGGGGAGCAAAATCAATTCCATAATTGGCATAATGGAGAAACTAGTCCTCAGGACTCTACATGCACTGAACTGCACTCCCTCCTTGTATGAACAAAGCAGATGTTATTCTTCTCCGACGTGCCATGGATGTCACTGCGTGTTTATTTATTTTAATGAAGTTAAATTATTGAATAGAACTTCCAGGAGTGGTGGTTTCTTATTGCTTTTTCCACTCCCTGCAATTTAATTTGGCTGTAGCATAACATGTTGTTTATAGTTCAGAACACTTAGCATTTTATGATCAAATGGTCATGAGTTTGGAAATCATTTCATCTTGTCTGCCTTTATCATCAATATTTAATCCTTTTGCAACGCTTAAGTTGCTTTCCTTCACCTATAAACATCATTAGACTTGAAATTGAAGACCTGAATTCAGCTTCTGGCTCTGATCTTTATTGTTCTATTCTGACCAACTCAACAAATATTTATTGAATGTCCATTATGTGTAAGGGTTTGGATACAGGTCCCAAGAATAATGACACATGATCCTCGAATAGTTTGCAAGTTATTCAACTTCTCTGAATATCTATCCCTGCATCAATAATGGTGATTACAGTTGCCTCTCAGGAGGCATGAATTCACTTGGAAGTATCCTTTATAAACTATAAATGGTGACAAAATATAAACCATTAGCCTTATTAATTTTACCTAAGCTGATTTTAAAAAAGACACTTTGATCCTCAAGATATTTCATAAATAAGAAAATCTATACAGCAGTAGTTAACCATGTGACTGATCAGGATCTTAGGAAATGAGAAAGGAACATTTTCTGCTTGCAAAACAATCTGTTGCTCATCCCTTCCCTCATCATTTTCTGTCACTCACAAGGCTACCCACTCCTCAATATAACCCAAGGACATTCTAATTAAATTATATGTTTCAAATTATGTAGTCTACTAGGTAACAAAGTTCTGAAAATAGATTTTTTTTTTATTTTCTCTTATGATTATCTAGATGGCAGCTCAATACTTTAACCCTAGAATTTAATTGCATTAATTTAACAATTAGCCTCGATTTTATACACAATCTAATAAGTCCTGGTGCAATATTTTCTTGTATTTTTTTAATTGGACAACTGAGTCAAAATCTGAGTCCTTTTGATCAAACTATTTTAACTCAAATTTTGACTCAATTGTGATTATTCACTCCTTCATCCCAATGGCTTTTTGTAAGCCTAAAAAAATACCAGTCATTCATTTTTCACTCTCATTGACCCTCACATTCTCTAACCCACAGTCTGAGTAATCTTTCCACCTGCCTTAACTTTTATCTTCATTTTACTCTTCCTTCTGCTCATCTTTGTGTTTATCATTGGACTCCAAAGCCTTGGCCATTCGTGGTGCATGATGCTGAAAGCAACAGATGTCAGCTCCCTGGCTCCTTGCCTTGCTGTAGAGGGATACTGATAGATTGACCAGGTGAGTTTAAGACAGATAGAAGCTATTCCAGGGTTCCTGGATGGTCACTACTCTTGCTGTAACTTCTTTCCTCCGTCTAGCCAACATAAAGGAGTAAAACATTTACCCAAATACTTAGCTAAATGACTCAACCTACCTGCTATAAAACAATTCTTTCTGAGGGATATTTAATAATTAGGATCATCCTAGAAGCCTTCTGCTAGAGGGAAAAAAAAGTTAATCCAAGAATAACTATTCACATCACAAAAAAACTAAATAAAATCCTTTGTTTCTCTTCAATGTTATACTTCTCTGAATTCTTTAAACTTGGCCATTAGGTCAATTGTTGACCTTAGGCAAGCTGCTTAACCTCTTTAGGCCTCAGCTTTGTCTTCTGTAAATGGGGCAGCAGTCACACAGCTTACTCATAAAGTCTCCTCTAGAAATCGGTTCCCTCTCTTTGAGGCTATTAGCAGAGCTCTTTCCTAGTTATATACTAGAACACCGTACTAGAGGAAATAGTAATTTATTAAAACACCAAGTACATTCCAATGTCACAAATATTGGTGATATATAAGGCAAATTTGACTTAATTACATTTTACCAAGGGATATTTTAGGATAACTAGACCAAATCAAATCAAATTTCGTCTATTTAAAAAATATATATCAGTTAAGAACAAGGACAGGAAAATCTCAAGGAGTTATGTAAAAAAACATAGATGAGCTTACACAAGATATATAATTTAATAAGATGTAGTGTAATTTTCCACTCTAGAATTGATTGTTGGTATTGGCTCCAATACCATCAAATCAACACATCTCTCCTCCTTAGCTGTGCCAATGATTAATTTGACCTGACTGGCCTGAAAAGTGACCCTCTTGTTTTACCTATAAAGGATGCCTGATCTCCCATGACCTCCGCCTGTGACTGATGTCAGCAGAATGGAATGCTCATGTGGTATCCGTGATGAACACCCCCAATGGTGGGCTACAAGTGGTTCAGGGAAAGCAATTGTATTAATGTGTTATGGTAATTTATTGGCAGTTTTCTGTGATAGCATATTTACTGCATAAATGAGGCCTGCCGAAAAGATCAGGTTATAGCAGGAACACAAGATTTCCCAACCAGCCATAAAATATAAATCAAATGCCTTTTCTGTCCACTGTCAGCCACCTCCACCCACTCCTTGTCCTAAATCCTCAGACAAATTGAAGCACGTGCTCCAATTTGCAGAGGGAAAATCAAACTCAATTTCACAGTACAATGAAGTGAGTTTTGGTCTTGTCATGTCCACTGACATATTGATCCCTAGAAGATTGAAAAATCACAATGTTCTAGGTTTTTGCTTTTATAAATAAAAATGTGTAGAAATGTAACATATAACAAATGTAACAAACGTCCTCATAAAATGAGGACAATATAGCCCTTATGCAGATTTACAAAGATGCAAGAACTCCAGGAGGAGTGTTGTAAAACAGTGCTAGGATATAAAAGTCACTATTTAAGAGGTCACATTTTCTTTCCCTTTAGAATTATAGCTCCGGTAGACAAATGGTCTCCTATTCCAGGTTCATTTAAAGTGCAGCTGATCGTTTCACAGCTAAAAGGAGTTTTCACTAGTGAAGAGAAAAATACACCCTATCTTGGCCCTCTGTAGAATTTATGTCAGATCTATAATGCCATAAGCCCAACACTCCATCAAACATTTTCTATTTAACCTGAAAGGGGACTAAGTCAAATCACTTATATGTCCATGTCTGTGATTTGCAAAGTGCACTGATTGCAGCCTCCCTGAAAATGTGTAAAGACCACACAGTTACTCACATCTGTAGATGAAGCATTAAGAAATGGAACCACGTTATCGCGAGGTGATGATGAAATTATAAGAAACAACATAAAATACCCTCTAGTCTAATAAACTAAATTTTTAACTCAGCAGGTGGAAGGAAAAAGAATGAAGAAATGAAATCTGTGTTTTCAGGTAGGCAGAACTCAGTCGTTATGACAGCAGGATGACTTTCTAATTACCATTTACTACAGAAATACTGCAAAATTCTTTGCAGCTCCATGGAGATCATACTCCACAATATGTATCGCCCTATATCTGATATAAAACTGCTTCAAACACAGCTCCGTGCATCTTACTGAAAGGCAAACTGAGGCACAGCTCCATGATACTGCCCATGAAAACCACACAAAGGAATTTGAATAGGGAAACAGCTTCTTCACTGATCCTTAATTCAAAGGTTTCAAAACAAGAGCTTCTCACTTGGCATGGTCTTTAAAAATTATAGCAATGCCTCCCATTACCATATTCTAAAGTAACTACTTGCCTTAAGTAAAAATAAATTCATTAGGAATTACCTAGTCCTTTATTGTGAAATCCAGAATAAAACTGAAGTATTTTTTTAAGCCGACAAGAGAATGACTCGACTTCATCAATCAGTGAGACTAAAGTAATGATTTTCTTAGAATTAAAATTTGTTGAAAGCTCTAAGTATTTCATCTTTTAGGCTAAGAAGCATGTAGTTAATGTCACAGCTAATACATTTGTCAGTCTGCTAATTTTCTTTTTCTATTAGAATAAGTAAACATCAGCCCTTTCTTAAAAGCATACTATTTACCATGTGTCAGGAGCAATGCAGGGAGAACTTATTTGAAAATCATGAAGTAAGACATTATGAAATGAACAGGAATCAAAGGGAGACAATGAAGGAGAAACCTGAAAGGGAAAGGCATTTAGTAATTCCAAAGTGATGGCAGGTGTGCCTGAAGGTGAGTGGGGGAGGGTGGCATTTAAAGGGGAAGTAGGAAAAATATAAAATCAACCCCCAAACTCAAGCCAGAGATGTTGGAAAATATGAAAGAAGAGCTGGCTTGTAAGACATCACTCAAATAAAAATGAGAACAATAGTAAAACAAAAGAAGGCTCATAAATATACAATGGAAATAAAAGAAAATGAGATCTTGCCCACATGACCTTAGATCAGAGAACACTTCTTCAGATATGCTTATTATTTGAGAGAACAGGTGTAGAGACAGAAGAACGGACCCTATTTCCCATCTATTTTAAAGACATAATACACTCATTTATGTTACATTGTGTCAGAATTTAAGGCAGCTTTGGTGTTACTGTAACTAGAAGAAAATAGAGACTAGTAAATAACAATGCCAGCCCTTTGTTCTGTCTATTGTCGGATGTTCTTTCTAAAATTAGGGTTCTTTTGGGTCATTTTGTTATCATAGATCTCTGGAGCATGGGTGATTTCTAAACCTTCTGTTCCAAACCAAACTTTACTGCCACAATAAAATCTTCATTTAAAATAGTCTTCAGACTATCATTTTCTGCTTTTTTTCTATGTATGACCTAGTTACTCAAAAAAAAAAAAAAAAAAAGTCTTTACTGCCAAGCAGAGAGGATAGTTAACAATATAAAGTACTAAGCACTTTAGTTTTTTTTTTTTCTTGGTGAGGAACATTGGCCTCGGGCTAACATCTGTTGTCAATCTCCCTCTTTTTGGTGAAGCAGATTAGCCCTGAGCTAATATTTGTGCCCATCTTCCTCTATTTTGTATATGGGATGACGCCACAGCATGGCTTGATGAGCGGTGCATATGTCCGCACTTGAGATCTGAACCCTCCAACCCAAGGCTGCTGAAGCGGAGCAGGCAAACAACCACTACACACCACTGTGCTGGCCCCAGCACTTTAGTTTTTTGATGTTATAAAATTGGTATTCTTTAGTACAGAATAGTTAAACCTCTTACCTTTCCTCATTAAAATATGAGTGAAGAAGGCTTGCGAAGAAATGCTATTCCTCAACTCAATTATTTCATATATTTCCCATTGTTTTCTTTTTATCAGCTTTGCAATGATTTAATTTAATGTTTTAAAAAAAATTATTGTTGTTTTTGTCATTAAATAAATTAAACATAAACTAAGAGGTACAAATGAATTCATAAAATTTCAGAACCCATGCTTTCTGCAATCAAAAAGAGTAGGAAAAGAAGCATCACTCACTAGCTGTGTAGACTTAAATGTGCTACTTAAATTCTCTGTCACCATTTCCTTATCCATGAAATGGGGTTAAGAAAGTAGCTACCTCACAAAATTGTTCTGAGGATCAAATGCTATGTTATAAGTCTTTAGAAGCATGCCATCATATAGCACATGTTCAATAACGGTTAGTTATTGTTAGTAGTTGCAATTAACCTGCCATCTATCCAGAATACTAGTCTCCGCCAAGGTCTGTTCCCTCGGTTGGTATCACAGTGGGGAACAGTACAGCCAGCAATCATCAGCAGCATGCTTTTGCCAGAGGAATTTGTTAAATGAATTCTCTTGCTTCAAACTGTCCCTGTCTCAATTAACAAGGCCCTCATAGTTTCAGGGCAATAGAAAGTAGCAGTGGAGTGCGTATATGTGGGGGGTGGGAGAGGGGCTTGGACAATACAGACTTGCTTAAATCCTAGTGTGGGCTTCTTTTGGGTTAGAAGAGCTGTCTCCTGTGAAATGAAGTCATGACCTGCACTGAGCCTACGTGTCAGAGAAGACCCCAACGTGGCCACGCCCGATCTGCAGCGTGCATCCCAGACGATGGAATCCCACATCCCTCCTGTGCTTCAGCCACCTCTCAGGGTCTGGTAGCTGAGCATGCACATTACATACCACATGAATGGTGAGAATACCAGAGACGATGCACACAAATCAATTAATATGATGCCAGGAACAAGATGTATTCTTAATACTAGTATAAAGACATCATTCGTAATTGCAATCTTGTTTTTCCTTGGTTTTGTAGTCATCATGAGGCTTATGTACTAATGCAATGAGTAAAATTGCTGTGGGTATGGATCTGAGCAACAGAAACTTACTCAAATGTATTTACACAATGGCAGATTGGCCAATTCAACTCCCTGTGTCTATTAAGGGGGCCACTTCTGGTGACTTGGAACCACTGAACTTTACTATCTTATGTCTGATATACTGAGGTTGTTAAGAATTATTAAATCAGTTGGCTGGACTCTTCACTGGTACTAACACTCCTTTCTGGCCCTAGAATTCTGAATAAGAACCTCTGGAAGATGACTATTGAAAGGCACAGAGCAGAATTATGAGATTAAATGCATTTCTCTAAAAAGTGGTTTTGCAGACTTTTGTACCTTTAACTCTAGTCTTGGAGTCTAGCCTTAAATCTTTGGACTCATGTGGCAGACTGAAGAACCACGAACTTTTCCAGCATTCTCTAGTGGGCATACCTACAGCATATATTAAAAGTACTGGACTGGTATTGAGGCTTAGTGAACAACTTCCCAACGGAATGAAAGGCCCCTACAATCAGCTAGTTGCTCGTAAGGCAGATATTTAAGAGCTTCACTACAAACATCAGTAACAGACATGAGCACACTGGGCATGTAATCAACGTTGAAAAGATATAATGCATCCAGGCCTCTCAGGAAGCCTCATGCACTTAAGTAGAGGCGCTAATGATAACAATGATTTTAAATGTGAACACGTGGGCGCTTTACCCGGCTGAGACAGAAGCGGTGTGTAAGGGACTTTCGGTTCTATTGCACTCATTGGTGGAGGTAGCAAAGGGTTGGCAAAGCTGCGGAGTGGATGAGTTGGTCGAACACAGGCCGTGGGGATGGTTCTGCTTGGTGCCTCCTCACTGCTGGGATGCTCAGGCTGAGCTGGGGGCAACATGGGTGGCTGTTGGGTGGTGGGTCCTTCATTCACTGCTGCAATGGAGACAAGAAAAGCCATTCATTATTCCAGGACAAAGCTTGTTTTCCCTAAGTCACTTGAAGGACCCCTGGACCAGTTGAGAGAAATATGCCAGAATCTGGCCAATCTCTTCTTCAAGTTATGAACATCTTCATTCCTCTACCCTGTTATATTTATGGGATATGATAGCACTGCCCCTTTAAACAGTAGAACTAGATCTACCAGGATAGGGATATATCTTTCAGAGAGAGTAGTAAAATATATACAGCACTGACTATATTGCCTAAACTGTCTGGGCCCTGTAATCATAAGTGATGAAGCGAGAAAAAAGAGTTATTTTTCCTTTCATAAGTAGCAATGTCAGTGAAATTCAATGTACCAAACCCGGCTACAGCTGCATTATTATCTACCAGCCAATATGCCAATTTTTCTGTGATTTAAACATGCCATGTCAACTGTCAAACAAATCAGAGTTACCAGGTGCTCAAGGCATTGCTAATAAAATGATACAAATAATAGCCACTATCATTATCTTCCATAACAAAATAGAAGCACATCCAGCTAAAAAGTTATATGTGAGATGACTCGGCTGGAACAAGACGTCTGAACGCAGAACTGCAATTTTTCCTCTTTGGTAGCAAACCTTGTAATTTTCAGTCAGATTACTATAGTTGAAGAGGTTTCGTACAGTCATTTGTGACAGCCTTTGGGTATTAGACTGTTTTGTATATGGAAATATATCTTTTCTCCAGAGAACACAGTTGAGCCAGACTAAAATATTGGCAAGGCAGATTGTCAGTCCTCAGCGTTAAGGATACTGTGACTTGACTTTATTCATTCATATTTAAAGTCAACAGGTTAACAAGTTAAATGGCAAATGAAAAGCACTGGATAGTAGGTATAAGTGGTGACAAAACAAAGTATGTCTCACGATTTATTTCTTAAGAAAGTTCTATTGGGTAAGTTGAAAAAAAATGCAGTGATAGAAGATAATATCTAACTTTTAAAAGAGAATTTTTAACTAGGAAATATTTCAAGGTAATTAGTTTGTGAGATAATTTTGAGACAACTCCCTGGGAGGCTCAGTGAGGTCAGCAAAGGGCAAAGGAGATAGAAAGAAAATCTGATAATGCTGAAGGGAGTTGAGATTAAAGATACCAACGATCAAGACATAATATTAAAAATATGCAAAGGTGAAATGTGCCTTCAGAGGGTATTTGATATTAAAACTCATTTTTCTATATTCAGAAAGGGTTAGAGGTCCTGTGGGTCACTGAGCAGCCTTCAGGTTTGCCCCATTCAAAGATGGAGGCAGGGAGATATGGGGTTGGCTGAGGACAAGATGTAATCACATAGCAACCAGAGCTAAAAAACAGGCAAAGACTTCAAAGATTTCTTGAAACATGGAAAATGTAATCAAGACAGCAAACCGGATAGAACTCTGGGAGTAAGAGGAATTTAATCAGAAGTGCCTTATTTCTAGGCTAGGAGGTCCTATCACAGATGGAAGGGAGGGGATATGCACGCAAAATCTCAAAGTTAAAATGTGGGGCTACAGGAAAACATTAAGGCAGACCCTTGGTGATGTTGGTTCTCAGATAAGGGCAAAAGGGACGAGGGCTCCAGGTAGGTGTTTATAAGGATCTGAACTGCTTGTAAGAATGTAAAGGGGAGAGGAACATCGGTGTGTTTGTGTTTAATCAAGACTATGCAATTAGATGGTTGAGAGTGGAGTTTTAGAGACAAAGAAAATTATGCAGATTTTACTCTGGACTCATATTTGGTCTAAAGGAAAAAATGACCAATGGTCAATTGTCCAAATAAAAATACAGTATCTCTCAGCTCTAGATCAGAGAGAAGCAGCTGTAGGAAGCTATACCTAGGTCCCTCTTCATTACCAATGGGATGGTTTGATTAAAGAGTCCATATAATAGTATTAAAAATACCTCTCCAGGGAAAGAAATTTCACAATTTTCCTCAGAAATCTGCCTTATGTAATTCTCTCTGTTAAAGATGGATTGCAATAAATTCGTTTCATATTTTTAAAACTGGTTTAGCCATTAAAGAAATAATAATATGTTTTGCGATGTCTTTATTTTCTTTATTCCTTCCTTCGTAAATTCCTCTTCTATTTCTTCTACATTTTTGAAATGAAAGAGATCTATGTTAAAATATTATTGTGATCATAGGTTTAATAAAAGTTACATGAATTTTTTTAGTTTCCTGAAATTTAGTTTTTTAAAAACTTCAGACTTCACGTGAATTCTGGTGATATCACTGAATTTTGGGAAGCCACTCCCATTCCTATTCTCTTTAATGGCATTGCTCACCAGCATCTCTAAAAACAAAAATTCTCTGTGTTTCCAGCGCTCCATCCCCAGGTTTCTAGCTGGTCACCATGATTCCCACTGGGAACACCATGGTGTAGTCTTGACTTCAAGGGAAGTAATGGTAGCTTGACACAGATGGACTGGCTCTTTACGGAAATCAATCCTGAGTACTACACATAGTGAAATGGAAAGTGCCTAATCTAATGTGCTAGGTGGGAATGGGAAGGCCCATCCTCAAGACCAAATGCATCACTAATCCATAAAGGACCGTCTTTATTTTGTTCAAAATGACAATTTTGCCTAATACCTAATACAATGGACAAGGTACAGGTTTTCTATGGACAAATCATAATTCTTATATTTTATGTGGAGCAAAAGTAATGCTTTTCAGAACTGGCTGACATTTGAGGCAGTGAAAATTCTTAAACAAACACAGTAGAAACTGCTCCACCAGAGAAAAGCTCTCATTTGAGATGAGTCTGTTTGGCCAGTTCAGGCGCCAGCTTCAGGACACCTACGTGAAATGAATTGGCTCAGTGACATGACATTTAGCTGTGCTAAGAGCTCAAAGCAAAGAAAACCTCCTCTGCCCACGAAGTGCAGCCTCCCGCAAATCAGAGAGTAAAGTGAGAATCAAATATGTGCTGGCAAGACACTCGTTCTCAAATGATGAAATAGTGGGGATTCATTGTACAAATAGCATACAGTTACACAGCGGAGTCAACTCTCAAGGCACTTTATAATAATTAATGTCAACACATAAATAATTGCTACTGAATAACCAGCAAAAATATTGCAAAAATGGAAATGAGGGTCTTTCTTCTATCTAAAATTGTAATATTTGAAAGAAATATAGCATACCAATAACTCTAAGCAAAGACTCCAACACATGAATAGTTCTAAGAATTCAATTCACTCATTAGTCTCAGAAGAACAGCATCACACAATATTCCAGAGTAACCCCAGTTCCTTACAGCCTGGATATTTGGAAAGACTCTAGAGAAAAATCCATGAACTCCATTGTGCTCCTGATTTCATCTAGGTCAGGTCCCATTGGTTAGTTGATTTCCAATTTGGAGGAGAGCTGGGGCAGAAAAATAACGTAGATAAAGGTTGACTAGCCTTCCTACTAAGACAGAACTGAAAGGAATAGTGGAAATCATCTAACTTTCTTTATTAGCTACCTGTTTCGAAGATGAAAAAATAGGGGCACCACTTTTATAGTGATTTGTAGAAATGAAGCCTCAAGATTATCTATTGGTTGAAGTTTTCAAAATATAGCCCCACTGCTCATGGTTCCCCAGGGACAGTCCATTTGCCTCTTGAGGCTAAAAATAGGACTGCAGTTTATTAGTAAGAGGAGGAAATATTTGTCCGTCATGACTACATAAATCTTTATCAATGGATCACTGAATGTGTGTAATGCAAATGTACTGTATCCTGTATCTTTCCTTTCCTTATGGTGGGAGAGAAATTCAGCCTTATTTGTGACTTCAGAAAGCAGCAGGTCTTTGGGGGCAGAGTTTAGTGATCCAGCTCTTGTGAAACTCAAAGGTCTTTCAGATAACTTTGGAGGAAGGAGAGTCTCCACATTTGGCACAGTCAAAGTTCTCTTTTTCTATGTGCCTTTTGCTGTTTCTCAAGGTGACTAATAAGACATCTCCAGCCAGAGTCATGAAATGTTTTCTGCTTGAGAGAGAACAAGGATGTTTACTGTTCTCCAAGGCATTTGGAAACCGATACTGAATGGCTGGAAGTTAACTGGTTCTGACAGTGATTTAGAGAATGTTTAGTTTCCTAGAAAAGAAGCTTATTTTTTTTTTTCTTTTCAAAGAAATCACTTAGAAACACATATTAGTCCCTATTCCTTTTGCATTGCACATAGCTTTGCTCAAAAAATACTTGATGAGTGACTGAATATATATTTTAAAAATCTATGAAATCTTGGCCAGGAGTAGGATGTCTATGCCTTTTGATTACTATTGTTTTAATTTTTGTGTTTTTTTTGTTTGAGGAAGATTGGCCCTGAGCTAATGTCTGTTGCCAATCTTACTCCTTTTTTCCTTTTTTCTCCCCAAAGCCCCAGTAGATAGCTGTATGTCATAGTTGTACATCCTTTTAGTTGCTCCATGTGGGGCACTGCCTCACCATGGCTTGATGAGCAGTGAGTACGTCCTCACCCAGGATCCAAACCGGTGAACCCCAGGCCAATGAAGTAGAGCGCGTGAACTTAACCGCTATACCACAGGGCTGGCCCCTGCCTTTTGTTTGTTTGTTTGTTTGTGAGCAAGATCAGCCCTGAGCTAACATCCATGCCAATCCTCCTCTTTTTGATGAGGAAGACCAGCCCTGAGCTAACATCTATTGTCAATCCTCCTCCTTTTTTTCCCTTTTTCTCCCCAAAGCCCCAGTAGATAGTTGTATGTCATAGTTGCACATCCTGCTAGTCGCTGTAAGTGGGACGCCGCCTCAGCGTGGCTGGACAAGCGGTGCGTCTGAACCCAGGCCGCCAGCAGCTGAGCGCGCATACTTGGCTGCTAAGCCACAGGGCCAGCCCCTGGCCCCTGCCTTTTGATTTTAGATAAGATTTAAAAATTACTAAGCTTTGTCAAGGATTGTTAAAATTACCAAGAATTGTTAAGAATTCTTTATTTATATAACTTTATATAATAGTTAATTACATATTTTATATTTATATTATATAATAGTTATATAACTATATTTAATAATCCTTACTTTCAAATAAATTAAAACATTGCAAAATCTACTAAAGAAGCTAAATTTTTCTTTATTCTTTTATTTATTTATTCATTCATTCACTCATTTATTTCTAATAGACCTTATTTTTTAGAGCAGTTTTAAGTTAATAATCACAACAAAATTGAGGGGAAGGTACAGAGATTTCCCATGTACCCTCTGACCTCCACAAATGCAGAGCCTCCCCCAGTATCAAATCCTGCACCAGAGTGGTATACGAGACTTTAACTACAGATATAGATAATTCTGTGGTCCTTAACCACAGATAAAAACAAATTTTATGCTACCTCCTTTATTGTTTTCTTTTTCATCGAAATTTAACTTTTGGAATCATTTTCCCCATGATTGAATGAGACAGTTTTGTCTGCTGTACCAAATCAAGAAAAAAAAGGAAGGAGTAAAGGGGAAGTTTGATTTTCAGACATAGACTTTGCCTTTAAAAAAGGAAAAGAAATGACAGGAACACTCTGTGAATAAAATAAAATAGTTAATTTCTAATTAAAAAAAGTAGTGAACTTTGGCTTGTCTCAGTCTTGCTGCATTGAACTCATTCTACACGTTCTTCTTCCACTTTCTTTTAAAGTTAGGGAACATAGGTGAAATCAAAAGAAAGTAACTAAGAATGATCCAACAAAGAGAAAACTAAACTAAAATTATACACCTCTCTTTTCTGCTGGGGAATGTTCATTTCAAAAGGACTTTAGGTTCTGAATTCTTTGACTGGAATCACTTTCTTAGTTGTCAAGAGATTCAGAAACTTTTGATTTTTGGACTTTCCACATCTTTCTCATTTAATTCCCTTCAATATGGTTTGGGAGACTATTTTTCCTTGAGTTTTTGAACACAACTCTATTCTGTAGACATGATGTGCAGTGAGAAAAGGGAAAATAAATCTAATTCTCTCTTGGCAGATTTTTGATGCCTTTTAATTCTAACCTTGCTACATCTAGACGATTTATGATTTCTTAGAGCCGTCCCTGTTGGGTTGGAAAACATATAGCTATCCCACAAATATATTTTACTGCTGTTACCATTTTATCTATTACAAAACATCCTATCTCATATGAGCTGCTGAGTCACCTGTTCTTAACTAAGAAGAATGCCATAAAATCGATTTTAGTATGCTGTGCTTGAAAAAAAAAAATAGTCAAATGGCATAGGAAAAATCACCAGAGTGTATATAATAGCTAGAGAGTCTCTCTCTGTTCCTACCTTCCTTAAAACAAATAAAGTACTACTCGCAGGATATAAAATCATTATACAAAAATCAGTTGTGTTTCTATACACTTAACAATGAACTATCAGAAAGAGAAATTAAGAAAATGATGTCATTTACAATTGCATCAAAAAGAATAAAATACTTAGGAATAAATTTAACCAAGGAGGTGGCAGATCTGTACACTGAGAACAATAATTGATGAAAGAAATTGAAGAAGACACAAATAAAAGGAAAGATATTCCGTGCTAGTGGTTTAGAAGAATTAATATTGTTAAAATGTCCATACTACTCAAAGCCATCTATAGATTCAATTTAATCCCTATAAAAACTCCAATGACATTTTTCACAGAAAAAGAACAAACAATCCCAAAGTTTGTATGGAACCACAAAAGACTCTAAACAGTTAAAGCAATCTTGAGAAAGAAAAACAATGCTGGGGGCATCACACCTCCTGATTTCAAACTACATTACAAAGCTATAGTAATCAAAACAGCGTGGTACAGGCATAAAAACAGACACATAGATCAATGTAACAGAACAGAGAGCCCAGAAATAAACCCATGCATATATGGTCAATTAATTTATGACAAAGAAGGCAAGAATACACAATGGGGGAGAGAATAGTCTCTTTAATAAATGGTGTTGGGAAAACTGAATTGTCACATACGAAAGAATGAAACTGGACCCTATCTTACACCATACACAAAAATCAACTCAAAATGGATTAAAGACTTGAACATAAGGCCTACAACCATAAAACTCCTAGAAGAAAACATAGGGGGTAAGCTCCTTGATATCATCTTGGCAATGATTTTTTGGATTTGACACCAAAATTAAAAGCAACAAAAGCAAAAATGAACAAGTGAGACAATATCAAATTAAAAAGTTTCTGCACAGCAAAGAAAATCATCAACAAAATGAAAAGGCAAGCCACAGAATGGGAGAAAATATTTGCAAACCACATATCTGATAAGGGGTTAATATCCAAAATGCATAACCAACTCATACAACTCAATAGCAAAAAAACAACTGGATTAAAACATGAGCAAAGGAACTGAACAGACATTTTTCCAAAGAAGATATACAAACAGACAACAGGTATGTGAAAAGGTGCTCAGCATCACTAATCATCAGGGAAATGCAAATCAAAACCACAATGAGATATCACCTCACACCTGTTAGAATGGCTATTATCAAAAAGACAAGAGATAAGCATTGGCAAAGATGTGGAGAAAAGAGAGTCCTTTGGCACTGTTAATGGGAATGTCAATTGGTGCAGCTACTATGGAAAACAGTATGGAGGTCCTCAAAAAATTAAAAGTAGAACTACCATATGATCTAGGGATATATCCAAAGGAAATGAAAACAGGATTTTGAAAAAGTGTCTGCACACCCATGTACATTACAGCATCATTCACAATAGCCAAGATACGGAAATAACCTAAGTGCCCATCAACGGGTGAATGGATAAAGAAGATGTATGGGATATTATTCAGTCATGAGAAAGAAGGACATCCTGCTGTTTGCAATAACATGAATGGACCTTGAGGGCATTATGCTAAGTGAAATTAGTCAGACAGAGAAAGAAAAACACCATATGATATTCTTTATATGTGGAATCTAAAAGAGCCAAACTCTTAGAGACATAACCTGACTAGGTTATAAGGGGGCTGGGGGATAGGGGAAAAAGGCAGATGTTGGTCAAAGAGTACAAACTTCCAGTTATAAGATGAGTAAGTTCTGGGGACCTAATGTACAGCATAGTGATTATAGTTAATAATACTGTACTATATACTTGAAAGTTGCTAAGAGAGTCAATCTTAAATGTTCTCACAACAACAAAGAAATGGTCATTATGTGACATGATGGGGGTGTTAGCTAAGTGTATGATGGTAATCATTTTACAATATGTAAGTGTAACAAATCAACACATTTTACACCTTAAATTTATACAATGTTACATGTCAATTATATCTCATTTAAGCTGGAAAAATAAATAAATAAAAACAAATGAAATACTACTCTGGAAATCTTTTTTTCCAATAATTATTTCTTAAAGATAAAAAGGTATTGCTTAACTTATTTAACTAAAGAAAGCTAAAGCATTCAACCAAATATTGGTTCATCAGGAATCAATGAAACGTCTTTAAATATAACCAACAGACACTTAAAATATGTTGGATGATAGTCACCTGATTATTAACTTCCTAGTTAACAGAACACATTAATTTCAAGCACCCGTCACATCATTGTTTTACTGAACCAGTTAACCTGGTTTCCCCAAGACTCCCCATGTTGTGAGTACAGGGTACCGTGGAAAGACTCTAAGAGAATCAGTCCAAAAGCATCTAAGTAGGATACAAGGGACTGACCATGGAAAACAAAATTCTAGTACCCAGGTCACAGGTAAATCAATCTTTGCAAAGGATGAGAATGTTAAAACGCTACATGGTATTATTCATTTGTTCTTAGCAAAAAGAAAGGAAAATGCATTCCACTGACTTTTTCCTGCTCCAAAACCTCGGTCCACTGACAGTGTTGGGAATGGCACAGGCCGGAGGGTGAACTGCGGGTGGGGGTATCCACACGTGGGAGATGGAAGGATTCCTGGGTACTGGGCACTTTCTAGGGTTGGCACAGGGATGGCACTCACAATAGCTGCAAAACAAAGACATTATTATTAGTTTTCAAATCCTATGTATCCACCTAACAAGCAAAAAGGAAATGGATCCATTTTTCCATCTTCAGATCCAGGCATACACTTCATAGTATCATGTAGGTTCCTTTACTCACCTGTCTTTCCAGAAAGTCCCTTTTTTACTTAGAAAAGGCAGCTCACTCCCCAAGCACCTTACTAAAGAGCATTACCCTCAGGTTTAAAACTTTCCATGGTTTCAAAGAAAGAAAGGATTAATCAAGCCACCGTGAAGCCACCTTAAGGCTTCCTGGGTTTGGGTTTGTTTTTGTCTCGTTGCTTCTCCTAAGCGAGAACGATGGCATTAGGAATGTTGGGTTGTTCAGAAATCAAATATATTGTGTAGAGTGGGCTGAGGAAATGGGAATTTTCTGTTAATTCTGTGAAAGAATGTAACACTTTTCAGACACAGTCTGGAGACAGAGAGGTCAGGTATGATCTCAATAATCATGCTAAGGATTTATATTTAAATAGGAAGAAAATACCTTTAAACAGTCAAAACAGTGCAACTTAGTGACATTAATTTAAATGCAACTGGATGTTTTCTGGGAATACCAAACATTTTTTAGTTATATTGGCTTAAACTCACAGATAAATACCTTACAAAGTATTTTCTAGGTTTAGTGAGCATTGCTTAAGTCCATTATTCAGTGCCTATTCAATTACATCATATTATGAAATATTTATTTTAATTGTAGTCAATCTTCTTCTTACATCATCTTATAAAATGTTTACTATTCCCTACCTCTTATTAACAAAAACTAAAATTTAAGCCAGGCTCCTGGAATCAGCAATTTCAGCAGTATATTCCTATGAAATTAAGGAAGTGATTTCTGCTATACATGATTTTTATTTAATTACACTGTAATCCCAATTACTAGAGTTTGGCAAGCACAAGCACGCACATTTACGGAAGGAAAACCTTTCTTTTTTTTTAAATCACATTCCTCTAATGTAAGTAACTTCATAATCATAGAAACAAATTATATTGCATTATTGTAAATTAGTTAGAAACAACATATAGATTTTAAAGACATTTTCTAACTTAAAATGCAGATTAATCAATTATATTAAATATACAGCACTTTTTTTTTTTTTTTTTTGGTGAGGAAGAGCAGCCCTGAGCTAACATCCGTGCTAATCCTCCTCTTTTTGCTGAGGAAGACCGGCTCTGAGCTAACATCTATTGCCAATCCTCCTCCTTTGTTTTTCCCCCAAAGCCCCAGTAGATAGTTGTACGTCATAGTTGCACATCCTTCTAGTTGCTGTATGTGGGACGTGGCCTCAGCATGGCCGGAGAAGCGGTGCGTCGGTGTGCGCCCGGGATCCGACCCCGGGCCGTCAGCAGCGGAGCGCGCGCACTTAACTGCTAAGCCATGGGGCCGGCCCTATACAGCACTTTAAATCAAAAGGCCTGCTTCTAGTAAACTAGTCTGTAAAATTGCATTCCAGAATTTATTTTTCATTCTATTTATACTACTCCTTGAAATGCATATTAACATGTTTATTTGAATTGAAAAATGAAGTCAGGCTTTTTCAGAAAAATATTTTGATTGGTTTCATAACGAGGACTAATTCTTTTAAGTAGGTTAAATGATGGGCATTTCCATGAATTGAATAAAAAATATATAAATTTTAATAGGGTAAACACATTTTTTCAAAAAATTATATTACTAAAGATATAAGTGATATTTCAATCTTTCCAATCTTGTCTTAATGTATTGTATTACACAAAGTATCTCTTAGTAAAAAAAAATTCCCAGATGTATTTTATAATTGCAAATCTTGGCAAAGCTTTTTATAGGCTTACCTCTTAGAAAACAAGAAAGGAAATAACTTGAATGAGTAATTCGAAAGTCAGGCAGTTTCTAAAACTTTGACTCCCAGCATAATTAAAGGAGACATTAGTTGTTGGTTGAAATATTATTAAAAATAACTTTGGATGAGAGTTCAGAGTATGATTTTGACATGTAATTTGGAAAGAGTTCAAATCATTGAGTGATTGCTATAAAAATCTTATTTATAACAGTCACCCACACATATATGCAAACAAGTTTTTCAATGTTTAGATCAATAAAAGAAAATATTGGAATGGAATTTGTGCAATAAGTAACATTTGCCCACGGATATATGCAATAATTGTACCGAAAAAGCCTCATTCATGTCCTTAAGTGATAAAATCCTCACAAAATCTTACTTTATATACAATTGTACGGAAATACTAATTGTAATGTTAACTCAACCCAGATGGAAAAAAAATTAGCAGTTAAAGACTTATGCTTACATAAGTTTATAAAATAAACATACAATTTCAGTTTATAAAAATATTATGTTGCAAAGAAATAAGATAGATGATCAATAAAAGACACTCATAAATAAGGGTCCGGCCTGGTGGCATAGTTGTTAAGTCCAGCATGCTCTGCTTTCGTGGCCCAGGTTCAAGGATTCAGATCAAAAAAAAAAAGACAGGCATTAAAATAGGTATACATATATAGATATATATATATGTATACCTATTATATATATAAATGTATAAACATATAATTATATATTATTTTAGGAAAGTGAATTGCAGGTACTAGTTCAAGTAGAAACATGAGTGATGCAAATTTTTCTCTGTTGAAGAGGAGCTTCCTCATGTATTTTGTAGATGAAAAGTGATGGATATCAAATTGCTACGGTATTTTTATGCTTTTGGATTTATTTAGAAGAGTGGTAAACCAGAAAAATTACATCTTTCCCAGATATTTATAACAAATTACTTTAAATGTCAAATTAAAAATGTGTGGGGCAAGCTCGGTGGTGTAGTGGTTAAGTTTGCAGGCTCTGCTTCAGTGGCCCAAGATTTGCAGGTTCAGATCCCAGGCGTGGATCTACACACTGCTCATCAAGCCATGCTGTGATGGTGTCCCATATACAAAATAGAGGAAGACTGGCACAGATGTTAGCTCAGGGCCAATCTTCCTCACAAAAAAAAAAAAAGTGTGAAGTGATACAAAGTTTTCTAAATTATTTTTGGGAAGAATTGAAGGAAAATTTGAGAATAAGTGGTATATTACAAAACACCTCAATGAAGATATTTTATAAAGAGTTAATTGTGGATATAAAACACATGAACAGACTCCAGAAAAAGGAAAAGAAAAAAATGACAAGGAAATTTTTAAAAAGAATTAGAGATTCAAGCCAGATATCAGCCAAAATGATAATAAATTCCTTGAAGAGAGCAGTTATAATTTTGTAGTCTTTGTGTCTCACAGTACAGTGCAAGAGATAATTCACATTTTTTGAAGTGAGTTAATAAGAAGGATTTTCTAGAAGTAATATTTAGAAATCTGTCTTTTTAACCCCTTGGAGAATTTTTAACTGGTTTAATGCATTATTTAGTCTCCTGGGCTTTATAGTTACCATAGCAATAATAATAATAATAATAATAATAGACTTGAATACATTTGTAAATAAGAGCCATATGATAACATAAAGTCTATATTCATAAAACTCAAAATCCCAGTCTCTGAGGCAGTCAATTTCATGATTAACCCATCTTACTGATCAAATGGGTTCATTGTATTGACATTTATGTTGATTGCCAGATTGCAAATCCTTCCCTGTGTTGACAATTTTTACTCATAAATAAATGCGACAATGATAGTCTCCCTTAGATATAGAAGGCACCCACTCCACAAATTGCGCATATTTCCTTATCAATATTATTATTTGAACCAAACCAATATTTTATAATACATTTAGCAAAAGAATTTCATAAATATCTCCTGGTTGGAGCTGAATAAATTCGAATGGAGAAACCTAAAATAATTTGGCAAGCCACGGAATTTATGAGTTAGAGAACTGAGAGAACCCAAGAGACTAAATTTATATTCCACTTCCAAGGCTCTTGTTACTGAAGAAAGAAATTTTACTTTCTAAGAGTTTTGCATTTTGACTACTAACCTAAGTACAAAAGGTTTGCAAATAACAAAACTTCTTTAAAAAATAATAAATCTGGGTCAGGCTGGTGGTGTAGTGGTTAAGTTTGCGCTCTCCGTTTTGGCGGCCCAGGGTTCGCCAGTTTGGATCCCGGGCACAGACCAACACGCTGCTTGTCGGGCCATGCTGTGGCAGCATCCTACATAAAGTAGAGGAAGATGGGCACGGATGTTAGCCCAGGGCCAATCTTCCTCAGCAAAAAAAAGGAGGATTGGTGAGGCCGGCCCCGTGGCTTAGCGGTTAAGTGCATGCACTCCACTACTGGCGACCCAGGTTTGGACCCCGGGTGTGCACTGACGCACCGTTTCTCTGGCCATGCTGAGGCCGCGTCCCACATACAGCAACTAGAAGGATGTGCAACTATGACATACAACTATCTACTGGGGCTTTGGGGGAAAAAAAGGAGGAGGATTGGCAATAGATGTTAGCTCAGGGCCAGTCTTCCTCAGCAAAAAGAGGAGGATTGGCATGGATGTTAGCTCAGGGCTGATCTTCCTCACACACACACAAAAATAAATAAATTAAAAAAAAAAAAAAAGAGGAGGATTGGCATGGATGTTAGCTCAGGGCTGATCTTCCTCACACACACACAAAAATAAATAAATTAAAAAAAAAAAAAAAGAGGAGGATTGGCATTGGATGTTAGCTCAGGGCTAATCTTCCTCCTCATAATAACAATAATAATAAATCTGTTATATGTTTCTCCGTCTCAAAAATTCCCATTGTTCTAATCCCTGACGAAATAGAATAGTCAGTATTCCAAAGCTTTGATTTTGAAGTATTTTGATCCATGATTCATTTCTAAAAAAGTATTTTGATCCATGATTCATTTCTAAAAGGGCACAGAAGTCTACAATTACCTACGAGACAGTTGTAAAAATAATCATTCTAAGTAAGTTGGATACAACACTATGCATTGAAATGTCTTTTGGTATTTTCGCCCTGGATGTCAGTTTTGAGAGTCAACAAACATACACGT